ATGAAAATAACGAACAAGTGAGGTCTTGTGTTTTCCAACTTTCGATTCGTTGTCCGAATGATTACTGACAAACATAACCGTGGGAAGTCCTCTGTGCGCAAGATTGTAGAAAAACCCGACTAGGCCTGACAAAGAAGTGTAACAGTAAGAGATTCTGACCTTTGAAGAATTCTAGGAATGTGTTGAACAATAGAAATAGAAATGGGACGAAGTGAGGCTCAAGTTGAAAGTACTTTAATGACCTCAGATCACGTATTTGTTAAACAAGATTCTTCCTATAATCATAAAAAGAGGTTTAAGCTACAAGAGTACTGTGATTCAATGAATCATACTTTAGTTCACTAGGATTAGATCAAGAGAAATTATCCAAAGTATGTGCTTATGTTCTCAGCTAAAAATAAGTTTTGTTCTTTTTTGTATGAATTGATAAAGATGATTATATTTAAAGTCTTTAGGAGTAACTGTTAATCAAAAACAATGGTTAAAACTGGAATAAAAAATATAATTTGTGGTCAGAATAGCTGAGACTTTAGGATGGTAATTTAATGCTTTAGAAGTTAAGTTTTGAAATTCAACAAGGCTAGATTACAATTTCCTCAATGAACATGTAAGATAGTGGTGGGAAATAAGCATCCAGAAACCCTGGAGTTAGGCTTCGTGCTATGTGGTGCTCATCAGTGAGGTTTATATGCAGGCTCGAGGGAACTGCTACACCCTAGAGAAATCGATCCAGTCTCATCTAGCTTCATAATCATAGAGCTATATCATTGAGCTATCTCCTGTATAACTGAGATGTATTTACAACTGATTGATCAATAAGTAGTAACCAATGTCATATATGTCAAGTCTTTTTTAGTGTTGATCGAATTCCATCAATCAAGTTGCAATGCAGTCATTAGTCTGAGTGACTCGACGTCACGTGTACTATGTTGAGTGTAAAGTGGCGATTGGAATTAGCATCTTCACCATCATACACAACCTAGAACAAGACACATGTGCGCACCAGTTAGCTCAGGGAGAGAAAATTATTTCGAGACAAATCTCAAACTAGTTGAAATAGTAACAGTATTAGTAGTAAACAAAGATTAAGCATTAACAAAGAAGAAAAAGCTATAAGGAGATTTCGGTACTCAGCTTCTAGAGGAACGCAAGTAGTAAATACACTCCGATCATTCTGAATGATTCTAAGCTCAGTCACGTAAAGTCTTTAACCGTTGGTTACAATAATCACGAGGACCCCGACGGGGTAGTCAGCACCAGCTGTCAATAACCTATTCCTGAACCAGAAAACATCGCCCGTCCATGTAGGCAATGGTTGCAGTCATATAATGTATATGTTAGGCACCACTGTTAATGAAGATTCCATAGGAGGTAGCATTATACAATAAGGATGTTGATCTACAGAGAAAAAAAATGAAGGATTTGAATATAATGTGATTTTATGTACAATATTCTTTCGAAAAAAAGGTACAACATACTTGTTCAATTGGTGGATAAATTGTTACTCCACTACTTTGTTCTTTAGAAATAAAATCAGCTAACTGTTGAAATTTATCATGTTCAATTTGTTCCAATAGTATAGCGAACCATTCATTTGATATACCTTGAATTAAATTTAATACATTTTTATTAGGTCGATTAGTTAATCTTCGTCGACATTCAGCTATCATTTTATTCACAGCTGATTTATCTAACTCTGTAGATTTGAATAAATTTTTTGTATTGCCAGTTAGACTGAATGAACAACCGTTCATTGGTGATAAAGCTTTTATATTCGGTGTATTTGCTATAGGGAACAAGAATTATTGATAAGGAAAGGAAAAAAGTATAAAGTCAACATAAACCTTTGCATAAAGAATTCATTTTTAAAGTAACATTCAATTATTTAAATAGTTGAGATCATGAGTCAATTGAAGCTAGACAACCATGGAAAACCTGGAAGCCCCTGACGGCTGTTTCATTTTGGTTTCGAATCTCGCGAGGCGGGATTGTGAATGCGCACTGCTGAGGAGTCCAACAATAGGACGAAATCGCCGTCCAGTGCTTCCAAGTTTTCCATGGCGGTCTAACTTTAAGTGACCCATGATTTCAACTATATAAAAAATTACTAAAATCTCCACAAAACCCCCCTTCTGATAACATTCAATTAGTTAAAAAGAGTTAGTAATTTGTTTAACTAACTAAAAATAAGAATGTAGTTTATCCTATCCTATCTGAATAATCAAAAAATAACGTGAAAATTGTTTTTTATCATAGATTGACGATAGTTGAATGATGAATAGCGACATACTAGATGGATTATTTTTAATTGTGCTATAGTCACTCTTCAAATAAAAGATACTCATAGCTCCTCGGACAATAACTACACATTAAAACAATTTCTACAAAAATTATGTCTTTATCTTAATTAGTGTACGAAAAAGCGAGATTCTTAGCATTACTGAAGCTATGACAAGAATTGGCCAATTATAATCAACGTAGAACCTAGCACATACGTGAATTGGTTCGTGTTACCACACTTTATCAACACAGAACAATGAAATGCTCAAGCGTCAGAATAGTAGAAGTAGTAACAGTATCCATTGTAGTATCAAACATTAGACAGATTTGATTTATGAAAGAAAGTAATCACTGATCAAACAGTATAAGATCATTTAAAACTTAAGATATAATAAAAGATAATGAGTGAATGGATCTATACCATTGTAAACGATTGTGGACCATGTTACCTAACATCTCTAACCATTCATTACGTACGCTAATTGCAAGCATGCCAACTATAAAATTTAGTTCAACAGTCAATGACTTCATGGACTAATGCCACATTTTTATTTGAAGAGAATATTACTTATCGATGGTTTGTCTATAACAATGCCCACCAACGATAAACCCTAGTCATTTATTAATTTCCCGTAATTTCTAAACACAACTAATCAAGTCAAAGTTAATTAACATTCAAGTTAAACAAAATGAACGGTAAAAAGTACAAATGATCTCAATTCATTCGACAACAATTAATTGTTACGTAATTGGAAATTCTTAAGTAGTATATTTTACATTTGTTAATAATGATCAGGTAAAACATGATTGTCATTTTAAAAAGTTTGTTCATCAATACCTGTGTAAGTAGGCCCACATTAGAATGTGAAATTAGAAGCTTCAATGAAAATACATTTTCAATTGGTACAATACAGTTTAACAAGTAGCAAGGACAACTACACAAATTTTTACGACAATAAACAACATGTGAAGATGAGATAATCATAATATTGAGTCACTAACTAGTTGGTGGTGATATTGTTCCAGTAGTAGGCGATTTATTTTCATCATTGAACGGAAGTTTAGAAGGTGGATCAGAATCTCCTCCCTCACATTCTGACGAACTGAGTTTCCGTTTCAGTTCCCCTTGAATTGAAGTTGTTGGTGTTCGAGAAAAAAATGAAGTCAAAGTTCTTTGACTTGACTGAGAAAGTTTACTTGATGATGCCTGAAATTCCCAAAAGAAAACCCAAATAAATGTTAATACTAAAAAGGAAGATAGACGCTAGTATAAATAACTGCAAATTAGCAAGAAATTCTGCTTAGAAAGGTAATGATAATACATTTTCAAATTATCAGAATTATAAATTTCACATTTGAAGATGGTGAGAAGATGAAATCGAATCATTTTCATAAAGCATAAAGACTTTCAATCAAAACTAGTAAAAATGTATTACGTATTGATCATAAGTCATTTGAAGCTAGACCACCAAGGGAAACCTGGAAGCACTGGACGGTCGTTTCTTCCTATTGTGGGACTCCTCAGCAGTGCGCACCCACGACATTCGAACCTAGGACCTACCAGTCTCGCGCCAGAGCACTTAACCGTCCAGTGCTCCCAGGTTTCCCTTGGTGGTGTAGCTTCAATTGACTCATGCTTGCAACTATGAAAATACTAAATCTCCACAAAACCCCTTCTGAAAAATGATTTCTCAACTAGACCAAGTATTAGTTACTAAATTCAATCAATATTTTTGACGTAAACTTTTGAGATTCGATGTATTGCCTGATTTTAGTTCTAAAAATCAACTAAAGTATTCGGTGTCTGAGAGTGAATAGACAAAAACGAAGGATAGTTTAACTGAGTGTAGAAATATCCTACCAAAGAAATCAAACACATTTTTTCTTTTCTCATTGGAGACTTTCATGAATATAGGCTCACTGCCTTTTGGATTTTATGGTGCTTTAATGAAAACGCTGATAACCATGTGACAACAAAGAATTTACCTTTTCTCAACAAGCAAATACTAGAAGTTAGGAGGCAAAATTAGTAACCATATTCTGACAACTAAATCTATACAAGTGTGAATGGGGAAATCCACTAACTTATCAATAATTTGTAGTTAAAAGCTTCCGATTGCTTCCACTACATTGTATGACAAAATAAATAGATAGAGATTGAAGGGTAAGAATGATTGATATTAATCCATCCATACCTATTTAAGAGGTTAATATTTGAATTATCATCTTGGTTAAAAAGTGCATCTTTATTGAAGAACCTGATAAAGAACTAACGAATGATTGTCAAGGATTTTTTTTATTCTGATCCATGTCTGTTAATGTTTCAAAAAAATGTTGAACAATATTTAGAGATTCGTTGGTCTTTTTCATGAGTTTCTTCAGTATCTAGACACCGATCCTGTCTATCCAAACCCTCAACTATCATCAAAATATCTAACATACACACTTCTTTGAGTTCACTTGACAACGGAACTTATATTTTATTGGATCTAGTCTAAAAGCCGTCAAAGTATACGTAGACATCATTTGCCATGCATTTCTCTATTTTCACTCTAACTGAACCTATTAATCAAGTAACGTATAAAAGATTGTTGACAGCAACGTAATCTATTAGTTCCACAATGATTCCCTGGATAAATGCAGACACACACACACACGCACAGAGAGACTCAAACACATTCATAGAAATCCATCTATATTGAAAATATAAAACGACAAATAAACAGAAAGCATATATTTTTCTTTCACACTAAATACTATTTTTCAAAAATAAAAAGGAAGCAATAATGCTGTGGAAATTATCAAGATGTACAATTGTTGGACACAAAAAACTCAAATTCTCAATGAATTCATCATCATATAGAACATTGATATAACTGGTAGCATGCAAACAATTCAAAGTAAGTTTATGATTTATCCACCATTAACAATCACCGTTTCATATGTTCATCACTGATTATTCCAACATTAACAATTTGAACACAAAACAATATCAAGCATCATCTACCACATAAAATGAGGATAAATTCAACTACACAGTACAAAGAATATGTGTACACCTATGTATACAGACTTCATTGTTACTGTGCTTAACATAGTGTTCACAATATTCACAAGACTAAAGAAAGTACTTAATGAGAAGTACTGCAAGAAGGAAAGAAAATAAACAAACAAATTATTTATCATAATTTTTCTACAGAATTTCTCTTGTTTTAAACCTATGCCAAATTAAAGTGCGTGAAAGTTAAAAACGTGCATAAACAAGTCAATTAAGAAAAAAAAAGCTAATAACAACACATTAGATAGAGACAGAACAGAATAAAGTGTGGTAATTGCGTATATGAAATGAAATAATAGTGCTTAATACAAAATAATATTGTCTCGATGTGTGTGTGTGTGTATTTAGGTCAACAAATTTAGTAGTATGGATAGAAACAGTCTTAGTAATAGATAAAGTGAGCATGAATTCACAATGTAGAAGTATATCATGACAATGTATCACAATGGGTTGGGGTTTTTTTAATTTAACAACTGGCGAGCATGGACAATAGCACAGAATACAAATAACATAACAACTATTAGACTGTTTTCCATGTGATTAAATTTTTCGAGGCAGAAAAAACAAAACAACACCGGAGACAATTAACCATGGCGTTATATATTACTGAAGAAAGACTAGAAATTTAACATAAAAATAGTCAAATTATGTAAGCGACAAAAAAGTATGAATCAATGTGAATGAGAAAATAAGAAGGAAAAACAAAGTATGTAAATAAGTTCATTTGGAAAAATAAATTAAACAACATTTTATATAGTAGCTAAATAATTTAGTTTTCAATGGAAACCCCTTCCTTTATGAATATATAATTGATATGATGTAATATGATATAATGCAGTTTATAGAATTTTGTTTCATCCAAACTGATCAACATGTATATACGTCCCTTTGTCTATGTGTGTGTGTGTGTTTTGGTTGGTTGATTCGATGTAAAATACTGTTTTATAACTGAATAAAATATAATCGAGGATCTTCATGAATTGTTTCCTCGTCAGTTATAATAATATACACGTCTGTAAAGGAAATTTGAAAAAAACAAACAGATAACATGTACGTATATTTTTTTTGTAAAAGTGATAGACAATGTCAACGAGTTAATAATACAGAGGATAAAAAAAGCTCCGTGAAAGAAAAATCATCAACAGAAGTTAGATTATATACCATTTTCTATGATTAATCGGTCGTTGGAACAGGAAATAAAGATAGATCTGTTGTATTTATGTGCATTTATCAATTCAATTGCTCCTGTGAAGCCAGCTACATAGAGTGACAAATAGGTAAGTACATTATCACCGAATTCTCCAAAGATCATAATCCCTTTGGTTAAATAAGGGGTAGTTGAGATCAATTAAGAGATTTATACTGATTCATGTAATTGGTACGGAGCATTAAGTAAATGTAAACAATGTATTTCTAATTATTCACTGGATTCCATCGACCATACCATATAATTTGGTCACAAAACTTACAAATATAGTCACAGACAACAGTATCCACTTTAGCAAACCTGATTTTTGTGCCCATGTGGAATTTGTACTTTGGCAATAAAAAAAAGCCAAACGTTCAGTGAGTTGAAGTGAATATTAAGTTTTGTTGATGGTACATCTAGAGAGAGGGGGAGGGGGTAACCTAAAAAATTTGTCTCAAAGATTTGTAGTAAGCAGAATTGTAACAAGATAAAATCCATTAAAATAAAAATAAATATTTATGAATCCAGACAGGTCTATACCACTAGTGCAATACTATGAGATACATGACAAAAGAATGTGATGAAATGGCGCCAGTATTATGATTCGAATAACAAACAAATTACTTACATATTTACGTGATCCTTCTTTCGACAAATGGGACTGGAAGAAAACAGAATTAAAATTGGGTGATTGAAACATATAATGTCTATTCGTAGAATTGATAAATGTAAGTTTTGAAAAGTGTAATCTACTGACTGTCTGGATACATTAACTCAGTTAATAAAGAGTTTGTAAACATGATATAAGTCCATGAAATTACTGAAAATTAGACTTAGCCGTATCAATAGGCACAGACTACCTAGTTAGAACTCTTGTGATTGTCGTAGCCAATGGTTAGAGACGTAGAATGATATCCCTCCAAATCGTTTATATTAATGGAGGTGACTATACTAATTGTCTTCTTTTAGATTCTGTCGTATTTTTTATTTCAATAACCAATCTTTTTTCTCGAATCGTATCTTCGATGCCGAATCCTTTTTATTACCACTATTACTGCTGCTACATCTAGTACTCGGAGATATGACCTGACAATCTCATTTCGCTGTGCTAATGAGGTATGACAATTTGAACCGATGTACATACGTACAGGTTTAACGCTGTGACTGACTGAGATAATGAGTTTAGTTTTAGAACGAAAAGGATTAGGTTTGAGTCTCAATGTGAACATCAACACTGAAATTCAGGCAGATTGAGTTGACAAGACCTTAAAAAGGGCGAGATACACATTCTGGAATCCGCTGTTGGATACTATCCAACTGTACTGAAACAATTTAAAAAATGTTATATATGTTTGTCTCAAAATTTTAATAGGTTTACAGATATACACTTGTGAGTAACTGTATATATGTAAGTGTTCCCAATGTAGTTTATGAATAGCTTCTCTGTGATGGGCATTTAAAACTATATGTAGAATAAAATTTCCAACTTGTAGTGAAAAAATTCTATGTTACATATTTTGGGTAAGTAAAATGGAAGTCTTAAGTAAGGCTTCCTTATTCTTGGTACTCGTTAGCGCTCTTTTGACGACCTATGATTAAATAATCCCAACTTATCCTCATCTTCGACTTACGATGGTTGTGTTGTAAACTCGTAGGTTATCAGTGTAAATAACTACTCTCCATAGTGTAAAAATCATTTGTGATATACAAATGAACATAACCTTAGTATCATACATGATATAAGTTGGAAAAAGAACAGGTTTTTTCAGTTTATCAGTCAGTAAGAAACAAGACCTTGTAAGGCTCTTAAAATAAGTGAAGTGGTTAAAGGACGCGTACATTGACCTGTTTCATCCATCATGATCAAACTAGGTATCGATTGGCATAGCATATAGAACATTAAAAATACGTTCAATGGGAAAACGAACTTCTGAGCAAAAAAAACTAATTAAATGTGAATAAGTTCATACATTGAACAAGTTAAGACCAATTATTTATTAGCTCAATTCGATTGGTTATCTTGTAAATAATTCATCGTTGTATTGGTTGTTTGAGTCTTCCTATTGATGTTTAGAACTGCAATTGATTAGTCACTTATTGGCACATGTACATCCTGTGTGGATTGCCTCGATATTGGCTTAAGTTACAAGTATTATAAGCAGATGGATGGTGGCTAGCAGTGAAATCCAGGACGCGCGTCTTGTCTTACTTGAGACTCGTCAGCTGGGTGTGCCTGTATAGTAACATTCTTACGGTTAATTTTGATAACGATCCATCCCTTTCATCTGACAGACAATTTTATCGACATATTAACAATCCATTCATTTCTTTGAATTAGTAGGATAGTTATCATTGGATAATTTTATTGTGGTACAATTATTTGAGATGTAGTTGTAATACAGGACACACATCAGTTCATATCAGTTTAATTCTATTCAGATTACTGATACAAAACAATTCCAGGTTATTTCATCCCAATAAAATCACCAGTTGTTCTAAATCATATTTCATTACAATGCTATTTCCAGATTCAGTTCAGTTCTTATTCATTCTTAATCACAATTTGATTTAGAATACCAGTGTATTTTTTAACTCAAGTTTTGATTGAGTCCGTTTTGTTCTGCCTCATTGAGATGAGTATTACGAATATTGAAGACGAAATTATTCAAATATGAAAATTTAATACTTACTTCATTTGGCCAAATATCACTACGAAATCGTACTGAACTAACATGTTTCGGCAAATCGAAATATTCACCATGACTTTTAAATGCTCTAGTTGTCTCTTCTGACAAGCGGGTCACCTTCACTACTGATTTTTTAAAATTATTTTCTTCTACAGTTTGTTGTTGTGGATCATTGCTTGAGGTGAAATCATTATCTGAACCAACTGAAGATGCTTTATCACTTAAGCTGTCTTCCATATTATCAACGATAACAACATCTGATGTTGATATTTTTTCAGATTTTCTATAGCATGATTCCATTTCACAAGTGGCTCGAACCTATTGAACAGTTATAAGAAGATTTAGAGGGAGAATAAGCAATACACAATAAAATTCTAATATTATATAGTTGAGATCATGAGTCAATGGAAGCTAGACCACCATGGAAAGCCTGGAAGCACTGGACGGAAGCGTTTCGTCCTATTGTGGGACTCCTCAGCTGTGCGCATCCACGATCCCACAATAGGACGAAACGGCCGTCCAGTGCTTCCAGGTTTTCCATGGTGGTCTAGCTTCAATTGACTCATGATCTCAACTACATAAAATTACTAAAATCTTCACGAACTTCCTTCTGAAAGTTCCAATAAACAGTGAAACACATACACAACAAAACGGACATGAAATCATAGTTCAAGTGATTTCTACCGAACTTCCTTTTAACTTCCTCTCCCCCTCTCTCTCTCTCTTGGACATTCGAACAGTGAATACAGTAAACAACAGTCAGCTGTCAAATATATTTTAGGTTTAGTATGTAGAAAAGAAAACAAATAGAATCCGACCAGTACTGACAAATATAGCACTTAATTACCGTTCATACATTGGTTCTTGAAAACAATGAGATGACTAGCTTTAACAAATTTCCGAAAATCAATATATTGTTCACTTCATGAAACAAATAAAAATTGTGAATTGTGAAATTATAACTAACAGTAAAACATAGAAAAACTATTTATTACATTTGTTGAATAAAATTAATAATTTAAGAATAAAATAATGAGAAGGAAAAGAATGATAGGAGTGGGAATACAATAACAACATAAAATAAGCCTACAAATGTACTCGAAGTATCAGATAAGTTTTTTATATGATATTACATTGAAAGATTAGGTCTAATAATCAAATCTTAAGTGTTTTCACAGTTGAAATCATGAGTCAATTGAAGCTAGACCACCATGGAAAACCTGAATACACTGGACGGTCAACTCCTCCTATTAGGGGACTCCTCAGCAGTGCGCATCCACGATCCCGCACTCGCGAGATTCGAACCCAGGACCTACCAGATTTGCGCTGCAGCACTTGACTGATAGACCACTGAGCTGGCCGGCATCCAACAGTGTCAATGTCTAACTTCAACCAATCCACGAAGTTTGAGCAACCGTTCATCAATTGTCTTCAGTGAGTTGATATCTCTACAACAGACGTGGTTGAACTCCACTGGTCACTGCTTCCCACTAAAACTCAAGGAAACATCCCCTGAAGCCAGTCACTGGTGAGCATATGATTACAGATCAGAAGGGGTTCGAATCTCGCGAGTGCAGGATCGTGGATGCGCATTGCTGAGAAGTCCCCTAGTAGGACGAAACGGCCGTCCAGTGCTTCCAGGTTTTTCATGGTGGTCTAGCTTCAATTGACTCATGATTTCAACTATGAAAATACTAAAATTTCCACAAAATCTTACGTGGTTGGAGTCTTCCAAACTTACGAAGCTAAATTTCTACAATCTCCAATATCACATTTTATCATATTCTTTTTGTGCTAAAATTCTGTACATAAGTAGATCATTTTATAACATTTAGAAAAAATGTTATTCTTTTGGTTAGTGATCTTGTCTTTGGTTTCAGACATATTTAGATTACTTCAGGTGATTGAAATGAAATCCCTAGTGAAAATTACACTCCTATACGCAGTACTGACCCACTCAGAATGGACGGCAAAAATGCTAGATATTGCATTTTTGTTAAACACTGAAAAAAAGTTAGTTAACCTCGTACAATTTTACTAATTGTTATATCCCGAAGAGAATTATGAATGGTAAATTTTGAGGACTATTCATGGACCAATACGATACTTATATTTTTATTGTATAATTATTAAGTAGCTAAACTAAGCATATTAATGTTCATCTTATTAATAGCTTTATTTTGACCCATAGACTATTATTATACAATTTACTGTTCTTCATTACGCCCAGTCTATTGATCACAGTCTCCCATATTCACAGCCACTTTTGGCTAGATCTTGTACAAATGTTATTTCTATTTTATGGTACGATGTGGTCTGTCTGTTTGGCATATAAACCCAGTATGTTTGAGAATAATTATTCATATTGCAGAGGGTGTTATTGGTGTTCTGGACTTAACAGACAGGGCTAGGCAGGAAGCAGGACCGATAAAGACTCTAGACTGTTCGCATGAGTTTTACGCGTTATGGGTCCGGCCGATAAATCACTGTTCTCTGACTGGTGGTATCATTACGTGATATATTGAAGTTCCTCAAGGACACTTTAGTATCGTTCAAAGGTTGTCCATAAATTATAATCTCCTCTATTAAGTATAGACGAGTTAGACAGACGGTAAATTTACAACAATAGTGAGGTAGAAAATCAGAAAAAAAAGACGAACCAAAAATGAAATCAAATCACTTTATGTCAGTGTGTTTCATACACATATAATCTGATGTTGGTCAACGTCTAAGTATCAAAAAAGAGAATCCATACAACAGATACGACTTAAAGATAGTTATACTATAATCATTTTATTTCCAGTCACATAATTTTTTTTAAATTAACCATTTATGAATATGAAAACTTACTGAACCAGTTGAATCTTGAAGTGCAATTAAACTACTGTAAGGATTCCAAACAGATACTGGAGTGATTAAATGCAAAACTGCAGTGACATCATGACGGACACGTTTAGCAGAAGAGACTTGTGAAGGTTCAGATGCGAAGCAAAGAAAAACCTATAATGAATTATTTGAAGAAAGATGATAATATCAAATTAATTAAGGGGTACACAATGTATGAATGACTGTAATACTCAGAGTTTTATGTTTAAAATTATATATATCTAATGCTTCGTTTATTCTTATTATAGTTTAAAACTCATTTATATTCTTTGTATATTTAAGAGTAAGTGATTAACACGTTGTTTATTTCTGTCATAAAGTAAACAATCACTTAACAATCATATTTGTCATCTACAATCTAATTTTCAGTTTATCTCGATAACACTTGAAATTATCGCACACTTTTATTGATAAGACAACAAATTTTCCAACAGAAAATCGCCGGATATTCGCTTTTTATCCTCTCAATTTCGTAAACAACACCTACTCCGAGGGAAGGCAGTGAGTAGGATTTCCCTGTCCGTGGTTGTATGCACGTGGCCACTTGAGAGTATTTTGAGAGGGAGAGCTGATCCCCCACCCCCAGCCGTACCTGGGTATTTGAAAGCGTATAGTGAATGTAGTATTAAGTTAGAAGTTTTACAATTTGTCAAATTAATCATTCACAAAAACGCCATATATATATATATATATATATGCTCACTCAACAATCTGCCATCACAGATAAAAAAACGACAACTAATTTGATTCACTAGTAAGAATAAGCATTTAAAGACAGCTCGGACTTCTTTTTGAATGACACTTTACATAGACAAACAAAATGATACATTATACATCCATTAAAATTCCGGCAACAAACAAACAACAAAGACGCTAAAACATTTGAGATTCCCAACTTCAGATATCAATTTATGTAGACTGGAAATTTCCTCGATTAATCATAATGAATTGGTTTGCTTGTATGACTTACTACAATTTTGTGACTGCTTACAGCTTCCGGTAGTGGTAGCAGTAGTAGACTGTGAACGCTCATGAGAGAAAACGACTCATACCCCCAAACGGATTTAACTAAATTCGACCTGGTGCTGTAAAGTTTGAAATTGGAATGTAAAAACATGTGCCCTATGGCTCTAAAAATGACTGCATGAAATGTTCTCGCCCGAAATATTACTGAACATAGAAAAGCAGTGAAGTGTTTATGGGACAGATAAAAAGAGAAGCATTCGATTAACGAATAAGGATCTGGCGGCAATCAGAGGTTACGTTATAACAAACAAATGAAGTTTATTTAATAATTTAAACTATGTTAATTATACAATCTCCACAAATCCCTTATAGCGACAATAATCATCTGCTCACAAGTGACTAGTTTCAAGATGCAACTCCTAGAGTTCTAGTGAGAAGACGTGACCAGTGAGGTTCGACTATGTCGGGTGTGAGACAGGTGGTATGCAATATCAAGTAATGGATAAGGGTTGAGTATTACCGTGAAGTGATTGAAGTTAGACACATACATCATTGAGTCCCGGCTCAGTGGTCTGGAGGTTAAGCGTTCGTGTATGGGACAAACGTGCCTAGGTTCGATTCCTAGTGGAGAGGTCGTGGACACACTGTTGAGGAGTCCCATACTAGAAAGAAACGACCGTTCAGTGCTTCTAGATTTTTACTGATGATCTTGTCAAAATCAATCTGTGACTTAAACTAAGAAAAAAATTTCCTCCTGTAATAATTAGCTAATAATTAACTGTAAACAGAAAAAAGTGGAAAGTGATGAAAAAAGTAATTGAAATATCAATAACAATGAGAAAACACAACCAAAAATCATTATACACTAACTTACTTGCAATTCTGAGTGTGGTTGCATGATTTGAGATTTATGAAACGTATACAGTTTTACGTAATCCGATGAACCTTCATGAGTTGGTCCAGCGTACAGATGCCAATTACTTAAGTCAATGGCCTGATAAATTGAAAGCAAGCATGAGAAAAGTACAACAAATTTAAATAAATGTAATAATAATGAAATTCTAATATTCTAATGTATTACATCATCACATGACTGAATATAAAATGTAAGAATCTATCTATCTCTGTATATCAAAATATACTCACATTTTCACTAGCATTGTAAATACGCAGTAAACCCTCTCCAGGATCAGCACTAGCAAAATGTACTGGACCATCAGCACGACATGTTATACGTAAAGAATCCCCAATTAAACTTGATGATGATGGAGATGTAGATAAGCCAGAACTACGTGAATTGAAGTCAATATTGATTATTTTTGAGTTTGGATCTGAAATTTCAGATATTTTACGTTCACTTGTCAAAGGATAACATTGAATAATAGCATTAGCACCTGTATGATCTAAATCAACATCATGAAGATAACTTTCAAATGATTGTTGTTTTGATGTTAATGAAGATGTACACATATCACTATATGTACGTTTGGTAGGAGTTATATTTGTTCGAACAATTGGTTTACCTTTTAAGATCTTTTCTGTAGGAGATAAACGAAGGCTAAGAAAATAGAATAAAAATTTACATCTTGATTTTTATTTACTGAAATGAAAAATTAAAAACATGGAATAATTGAAGTGTGTATCTAACATTACCAACATAATATATAGTATAGACTGAAATAATAAGCTCAATATTGTTAACTTCCAACAAATTTCCAAAGAAAAAAATGGATAGCCGAGAGTTATAGTGAACCTGACAATACATCGGCTGATAGCCTTGCATATGATTACTGAACAAAAGAATGAAACCCTTTCACGGAGATGATTCGCCTACTATGTGATTAAATTGAAAACAACAAACTTCATATCGCTGTTTCAATACATTTTCTGAAAGAATCACTTCTTCGATGGATTGTTGACATCACATTTAAATTTAATGACGAGTTCTATAGACAAACAGATGAAGCAGCGATGAAGTTACCACTCAGCCCTCTTCCAACCAACCGTTTCATTGCTAATCTCGAAAACACTACACTTAGATCAATAATTCATAGTTTCTATCTGTACAAGAAATATTTAGATGTATAGATTACTTGCGACAAAAATATCGACTGCAGTGACATCCTGGACAAGTTCAATAGCTGCGATCAATCAATTAAGTTCACAATAGAATGGACCCGGAAATCCACTTCGTACGTGCATTTTTTTTAGAAAATAAAACTGGTTCTCTACAAAGATCAATACATAGACAACCAACCTGGAATGGACAGTACAAGGATTTTCAAAGTTGAGACAGAAGAGAAACCTGATCCATTCTCTATGGACAAGGGATACACATATGTGTACCGATGATATAATTGATATTAAAACTGATATCCTACAACAATGCATCTCTACATAGATTCCTTTTAAAAAATCTGCAGCAAAAAGACAACATGAAAGTGTCTTTAGCACAAAAGAAGACATTTATGAACATTCCGTTTAAAGGAGATAATTAGGCAGGAATTCTAAAAAGCAAACTTTCGAGATCTCTGAGAACACTCTGTTCAAGCGAAACTCGTATTCTCTTCTCTAATTGGGCTTTGATTCATAGTTTTGTGAGGAACAAGCTTTCACTTTGGGCCAATGTACATCTATCAGTTAACTTGCTCATGTGGAGCAGGTTGTATTGACCACATAAAACGAGCTCTTACGAAGCACATCTCCCGACATAACTCTCTCTCTCTCTGGATATCCAAAACACAACAGAATTCAGTCAAAAGCTAAAGCTTGGAACATCAAGTTATTTTTGGTCATTCTGCTTCGCTATAATCCTCCTTCAAAATTATTTGTACAGTTAGAAAAATTGATTCAAAACGAATACAAAAGAAAAACCTATGTACATCAGAGTCTATAGCTATCTACCAATTCAAGCCTTACTCTTATGAACAGAAACAGTATGTTCAATCCATCATTCCACCTTCTTTTCCATCTTCCATTATCTACTGCGTGTTTTTTTGAACTCATTTCCAACAATTCTGCACAACCATCATTTAGCCATTATTAAAACTTTTAATGATTCTATTTCCAATGTTGATCAAGTGGAAAATTATCATATTGACATTTTTTATTAACCATTGTATTATTACATAACCTCTTTTTGATACCCGACTTTGTAAGCGATTTGTATGACATTTTCTCCCTATTACTTAACATTATTTCATTTTATTATAGACTACTAAACGGATTGAGCAGAAATACAATTGCACAGTTGAAGTAAATGAAATCGTCGAGAAAATAATTTACGTAAGATTATCTTTGTTTTTATCTGTAACAGTGTGATACCATTGATATCTTTACAAAATCAACTTTCAATCAATTACTTGTGATCATCATCCACTGATTCTTAACATTACGATTAACCCACAGAAGGATATTTTTAGCTTTACAACTGAAGAACATCTGGAACTCAAAACAATTGTCGACCAACACCAAGATCAGAACTTTCAATACAAATGTCAAGACAGTTCTACTGTATGGGGCGGAAACCTGGAGAACTACGAAAGCCATGATCCAGAAGATACAGGTGTTTATCAACAGTTGTCTACGCAAAATACTTCGGATCCGATGGCCAGACACTATCCGCAACAAGTTACTGTGGGAAAGGACAAACCAGATTCCAGTGGAGGAAGAAATCAGGAAGCGCTGGAAGTGGATTAGGCACACATTGAGGAAATTACCCGATTGCGTCACAGGGCAAGCCCTCACATGGAATCCTGAAGGTCAAAGGAGAAGAGGGAGACCAAAGAACACATTACACCGAAAACTGGAGACGGACATGAGAAGAATGAACAAAAACTGGATAGAACTAGGAAGACCCAGGACAGAGTGGGTTGGAGAATGCTGGTCGGCAGCCTATGCTGCATTGGGAATAACAGGCGTAAGTAAGTAAGTAATTTTAACTAAAAGACGATATGATGAAGGTTATTTAAAATAAACTATAAAAAGGAAAGATCAAAACTTACCGAGATTCTTCACCTTCTAATAATTTTCTATACATTGCTAATTCAGCATCTAATTGAATTTTTATTCCAGCTAATTCAGTACATTCAGTTGATTTATCCGTTAATAGTTCTAGCAAACGTTCTACTTCTGAACGATGTTGATTAATTAATTCATGTAATTTCTCTTCATTAAATTTTAATTGTTGCTCAAAATCTCTAAGTTGTCTACGAGTAGTTTCTAATTCATTACGACAATTATATAAATCACTTTTTTGTGATGATACTAATTGAGATAAACGTTGACATTCGGTTATTTTATTTTTAAGATCTTGTTCAAGTGAATTGGATCGTAATTTTTCTGCATCTAAAGTTGTCTTATAGTAATCAAATAAAGTAATGATATATCAATAAAACATTTCAACAAAAGAGGTTACCATTTCTTATTATTCGAAAGAAATGTTTATTTGTACAGCTCAATTCAAAACAATGGTAATAACAAAACGTTTCAATAATGTAATAAGACGAAGATTATCAGAACTATGTTATACATTAGCGCAATACATTTTGAACAATTTGATAACACATATACTTGTTAAGAACATTTATATATAAACATAAATTTATTTATTATTATTAATTAGACACATAAATATTGGTACAAGGAAGCACCAAATACATATGCGCCGCACAAATCTCTTTCGATTTGTGTGAAAGTTGTGATACTGCCCAGGTGCTCAAACTGAAGCAGGTGGTTTTCTTAGGGGGCCACAATCCAAGCCTTTGACCTAAAGATCTGATCCACAAGACAGTGGAGCATCGTGAGGAGATGCAGTTCCATGGTAGCCGGTGACCGACGATTGATTCATACGCCATTTGTTCCCTCAGGATACTGGAGCCAGCCCATGTGCACCATTGGTTTGGAATCAGGGATTTCTAACTCTCCTAGGTGGACTCAATGTGTCCACCAACCCGGTTAAAGCACCGGACATTCGCTTTTCGTTCTCTCAATTTCGTAAACAACAGTAATGCCACGAGAAGGCAGTGAGTAGGACTTCCCTAGCAGAGGTTATATACATATGACCACGTGAGAGTATTTCGAGAGGGAGAGCGGACTCTCCCCACTCTCAGCCGTGCCAAGGCATTTGGCGGTCAACTAAACTAGAAATGGAGGGGTAAGAATAGACAAGGATAATAATAATGTGAAAACAATTTAAAACCTAATCATTCTGGACAATAAGCCAATATTATCGGGGTAGGTTTAAGGAGAGAGAAAAATTGTTTTTGAATACACAAAGAGAGTTTGAATTTTCGTATGGCTAAGGCTTCAATAAACTTTAATATACGCCCTATTAGTTCTCATAATCTTCGTCTTCTTATTACATTATCGAAATTTATCAAAGGGATTAATTTCTTTAAACAAAACGTTTAATTGATTTAGAAAAAAATTATTTATACAATAATTTTCATTACAAAATTGGTAAAAACTAAAATGTGTACGTTGTTCTGATTAAAGACTGATATCAGCAGCGGTTCAGTTGAAACCCAAAGAACATTAAACAATTATTTTGTCCTAGTATAGAAGTCCTCAGAAGTGCATACCCACAGCCTCATTAAGGATCGAGCTTACGATACTTAGCATTCGTGGTGAACACTTAGTCGTTAAGAAAACAGTCTCGACTTTCAATGGTACAATTTTAAATTTTATCAACTCAATTTCCAGTGAGGGGTCGTTGGTGAACACTGCCGAGGACGAATCTATTTATTTAAATATATAAACATTAGTACGAGGCAACAAATAAATATGCTCCATGTAAATCAATCGATTCATGTGAGGGCTCGGATACTGTGCAGGTGCCTAAACCGAAGTAAGTGGTTTACTTAGAGGGCCACACACAGAGCATTCCACCTAAAGGTCTAATCCACAAGCCACTGGAGCAACGTAAGGAGATGCAGTCCCATAATAGCCGGTGACCAACAATAACTTCATACGACATTTCTTCTCTTACGATCCTGGAGCCCATGTGCACCATTGGTTTGGAATCAGGGTTTATTAACTCCCCTAGGTGGATCTTTCATATTCGCCCACCCGGTCAAAGCGCCGGATATTCGCTTTTTATCCTCTCAATTTCGTAAATAACACCCACGTCGAGGAAAGGCAGTGAGTAGGACTTCCCTGTCAGTGGTTGTATGCACGTGGCCACTTGAGAGTATTTTGAGAGGGAAAGCTGACTCTCCCCACTCTCGGTCGTATCAGGACATGTGGGGGCGCGAGGATGAAATAACTGTCCCACACTCCTTGGTTTTCAATGGTACTCCAACTAAGACCAATCAGACAGGAATGCAACAAACAAACTAAACCAATCTCCACAAAATCTCCAAAAATATTTCCAAATTGATACTAACTATGAAGCCTATTCAGAATCAAAATTAAACAAACCATGGACAAGGCGAGTCCACCTAGGGGAGTTGGAAAACCCTGATTCCAAACCAATGGTACACATGGGCTGGCTCCAGTATCCTGAGGGAACAAATGGCGTATGAATCAATCGTCGGTCACCGGCTACCATGGAACTGCATCTCCTCACGATGCTCCACTGTCTTGTGGATCAGATCTTTAGGTCAAAGGCTTGGATTGTGGCCCCCTAAGAAAACCACCTGCTTCAGTTTGGGCACCTGGGCAGTATCACAGCCCTCACACAGATCAAATGAGATTTGTGCGGCGCATATGTATTTGGTGCTTCCTTGTACCAATATTTATGTGTTTGAATAATAAATAATAATAACACACAGCAACTTGTTATCCAGTGCTATGGTGAGAAGTATTATATTGAAATTTATTTAAAACATGAGAAACTTATTTCTTGGTATGTTTTTAGCTTATCGTTTAGATAACAACACTTTTACCCGAAGTTCTTACCGGTGTTGTTCATAAGAACAATGGAAGCTACATGAATAAAACATCCAGCTCAGAAAGTGAAGGTCCATCAAAAAGATTATATATTTCGATGAAAATCACCGTAAATCTCTGGTAAAAATCCTGAACTCATTGACTAGTTTTAGTTTGATGCGATATGGGCTTTAACGCTTACCACCCCGATACAAAACTACCATTATAAATTTTGGTAATATCAATCAACATCATTTGATAAAATTAAAGCATTATGGTTGCGAACAAATCAGAAAATGCACAGGTTCCTTTCCTTAGAAAATGAATGAACTGACTATTAGGTGAAGTGACTTTGTAGGTATTTTGTTAGCGTAAAGACTAATTCTACCACGAATTGACATATTGTAAGAATAAATAAAATGAACAAACATTTCATTTTAGCCTACGAATTTACCTGATTGTCCCTAATCACTCACGGAGGAACTAATCTAAGGGATTCATGTTTCTAATATAAAAATCAACCTTTTAGGAACTAGTTTTAAATTCAAATGATTATTAATCCCGAAAAGTGGATGAAAATCAAAAAGTACAAATATCATAATCCAATCGCTTCAAGGATATCAATCACGACTGAATTTTATCATTCGATTTCTCCTGATAAGGTTAATCCCATAAATGTAAATTATTACTTAGATAAAATTTTACGCCAAATCAGACGCAAACTGGAAGTATCATAATGCTAAAAATAATGATAAAAACTGTTGATAATTTTTAAGAAAAAGTAAAGGAAGGTTCCACAACGTCTTCTGCAGCAATGAATTCAAGTCAGTCTCGCTTACGGTGAATTTAAAAAATGACTTGAATATAGACAGACAAAATGTCTACGTAAAGATCAACAACAGTGATGAACACGAAAATAACAAGAAATACACTAGTACAACAGGTATATGACTAAAGAGCTTAGAATTAGTCAATTGTTTTTATCAGATTAAAATGCTTTTGAATAACTAACTGCTTACAAAGAATGAAAATTAGAATATTACAAACGTATGACCTAGGGATTCACTAATTAGTGTATCAGAAGCTAGATTCACCCTTTTAGGAACCATATAATGACGTAACATTAAAATTACATCAGCTTGCACTTACTGAGAGCAAAATATATCAATTATTAGCTAATAGAATATTTGGCAATGAAAATAAAGATTCAATAACCAAGATCAGATTGTTTTACTTTGATGTGAGTTACTCAGTATCTAAATACCGTGATCAAAGTACGCAGAACGGATTCGAACGGATAACACACAATAGTTAGGAGTGCATCAAACGAATGAATATGCCATAGAGTTCTACTAAGTGCTTAGAAAAAAATATGCACAAAACTACTCAAAAATATTATTAATATGATGGAGAAGATTTATAGCTCAAGTGGGACGCTTTAGGTGGTGTTTTCAAGTTCTCTGAGTTAAATGGTTTAACTGCAAAGTTTTTGTTTTCATTCTGAACATCATCAGGGTCTAGTTCATGAAAATCTTTGGGTACTGAAGAAGTTGTCCAGAATGACGATGAAAGCTTAGTAATTAAACCAACTAACTTAGAGAAGTTGACAACAACATCAAAAGATTATTACCGCTTACTTTCAAACCCTCTTTTATTTTATTTTTTGCTTGATCATATTGTATTGTCATTTGCGAACGTATTTCAGATAATAAATGACAGAGTTTATTATGAGAATTCGCTTCGACACTTTTGATTAAAGATGTTAAATGAGATTGAATTGATTCGCTATTCCAGATATTACGTTCCTGAAAATTGAAAATAAGGTAACAATAATCATATGAACAAATTATGCAGCATTTGTTACACAATTATCAATTAGCTGTAAGTAAATGTAGTAAAGTAGATTATAGTACGTAAACAGGTTTTAAAGTAACTATTTTTTTAGTAATATTCATTATTTATGACATCAACAACATGCTAATTTAATTTTTTTTTTAGTGACTTTTATCCGTAATGAACGACTAACTACAATCCCATGTATGTCGCTTTGAATCACATTTTTAGGGCTACCGATACTACATATTCCAACAAGGTCCTACAAGAGCGAGAGGAATGAGGTTAGGAATTTTATCCTTGAACATTTGGTCGACTCCGATTAATCAACAAACTCACATGTTAGTTTTAAGGTTATTTATAAAATCCATCCAAATCTAATAAGATTTCTTTATATCCAACAATTAAAAATACCAGAAGTACTCGATATCTGGCTTGATTTTGAGACATTTGCCTATCAGAAATAAGATTCTAAAAATAATCAACAGAAGTATATATATAATAGCATATAGGCTTATGCACGCCATTATGGGTTCCTTTCCGTGAAACCGTGAAAAATCCTAACTTTAATAGCATATACACTTTCACGCAAGTGGAGCAGCGGCCAAGTGCTTAGGGAGTTTAACTTCCAGTCACTAATTCCAAATTCAAACCCTACTTTAGTTTGGGAAACCAGGTAATAGTATTATTGTTAGCCCAAGTACCTGGTAAATGAATTGATTTGATTAATTTGATTAATTTGTCCACAAGGAGATAAAATCATAAAGACATTATTGAATAAGCCAGCTAATTTTGTTGAAAGTAAGATAGACTTTTTAGACTATTTCATGTTAGTATATAACACTGTTACTCGAAATCAACATATGAAAATGTAAGTTGATTAGATAAAAAGACTGAACAACTTACTTTCTCCAATAACTGATTTTTAAACTCTAATTGTTCTAAAGCTGTAAGTAGCTTATTTTTGGTATCAGTATGCAACAGAGTTTCATTTTCCAATTGAGATTTTAAAATTTTATGTTGATCCATCAATGAATCATAATCTGTTTTGTAATTCTATTGTCAACAAAAGCACATAAATGGAAAGTATAATAGCAATAAGACAAATTAAAAAATTTCTCGGAAAAACAATCCATGCATAGACTAAATCAACTTATAAAAGTAGGCTAAAGCTCCTTGAATAAGATTGTATTTAGTTTATGGAAAAGCTGATGAGTTAAATAAATGTTGTATTACCTACTTTACTTAGCAGAATCAAGGGAGTTAACTGAAAGTCATGAGAACAGACTGGTAACCATACTTCAGTTTAATTCTACAACACAAATATACAGTATATTTTTGTTCTAAAACTGCTGTCAGACGAATTACCGAGGTGAGGAACGCGGGTGTTTACGCATTGTGAGAGTAGAAATTTCCTAAGATTAATTCCAAAAGAGCCAACCAGAGTGGCTGAGCAACGTTTTTTGATGTTATTCGATTCTCCAGGAAACCAAAAAATAATAAGGTATTTTTTTTAAACTCATGGCTGAAACAAAATATGGAATTACTATACTATTTCTCACAGACAAGCTCGAGGCTATATTATCACTTTTGCGGACACTTCTGTAAGAAGTAAAAAGTAAATTTGAGTATATATTCATGTTTGCAGTAGACCCCCTACACTTCAAAAGACATTTATGTTGCAGGGATTACGGAAGTAGAACCTTTTAACGTTATTTGGCTATGGGCGCATATTTAGATGAAACTGACAATATTGATGGTTCTAGTTTCCGGAAGTTAATATGTATATATTTTTTCAATAACGTTTATACTTTATGACATCCTCGTTTAAAGATTAAGTTGAGTACAAATTGTGAATAAACCACTAATCAGGCATTTGTTTCTTAAATATGAAATGGTCGATTATTTTCGGTTAATTAACATATGTAGTCGTTTCGTGCAAGAACTACACATTATTAGACAGCACAATGTAATTATTATTTCAGTAGAAAAATGTTTAAGCTTTCAAGCCTTAGTACCCTACACATAGGTTACAGTTTAAATCTACTTTGAAAACAGCTATGTATAAAAGTATAGGTCTATATATATATATATATATATATATATATATATATATATATATATATATATATATATATATATATATATATATATATATATATATATAATCATCCGTTTAACTTACGTTACATACGTCCAATTGATTTTGTAACTGAGATAGTTGAACAGTTAATGATGTAATTTTATTACCCATTTCAGTCTCATTGGCTTTTGAACGCTCAAGTTGTTCAACTGTTTCATCTAGATCAGATGTGACTTTTTTCAGCTGAATTTTAGCATTAGTTAATTCAAGTGACGTTTTGTTCAAATTTCGGCGCAATAATTCAACTTCATTTGAAAAAGCCTTCACATAGTCATCCATTTCATTCTGTACAAAATTATATGAAGCTTGAGGGATAATTAAAGCAATAAGGACCATTTGAATTTAAAGATAAATTAAGCTATGAATAAAGACCAGAATTTATCCCTAAACCAAGGCTGTTTGACTGTCGACAAGAGAGGACGTAAAGTTATTTGAAAGCTAGCTTCCGGTGGCAGCAACAACTTTTATTTCAGACCAATTTTAACCAGAATGTAAAAAATATCTCAAGGAAGCTAACTTGTAGTAATACTAAGTTATGATTCTATATTAACATGAGACACTTTTGGTTTAGGTCCATCAGGGCACGTGCAAATAGCATACCGAGTAAAATTTCATATGAATTCCCCTATCCGCAATATAAATCAAGAATCCATTTAATACTACATTCGACGCTAAGAAGTGAACATACATTACATCTTTAATAATCTCCCGTTCGCGATCAAAGTAAAAACTAAAATGAGAGACAATATTATCTTGTTGTACGTCAGTTCCCTTTAAACTGTTGATAAAATCATATCACAAAGGTCATGAACCGATCGGTTTGCTGGCAGCTAACTATTAAATGTTTGGAGTAATTGAGGACAGAAAATCACATTAAAGTAATGATTAAATAAGTAGCTGTGAAATAAAATTAGATCTTGTGCTGTTAGAATATATCTACAAAAAGATATGTTCCGAATTTCGGCGTGCTGATGTTCATAAAAGAATTAATCAAATTGGATTCATTAATTGTCTTATTTTTCAAACTATATATATATATAAGTTCATTTTAATGTACGGACATAAAGCATATCATGGTACTGCTCTCAATTATGCTTCTTTTTTAGACTTTAATGAAATCTCTATTTGGCTACCAAAATAAACAAAAGGAATATTTTGGAAAAGATATATCCTGCGTCAGCAAAATTCACAATCACATTATCCGATCGTTTATGGCATCCAAAAAATCCTGAAGTAATGTTTTTTATTACTTTTACCAATCAGTAATTAGCACTCATATACCTCATATAAGTACTTGGGTTTAGGCAAATGGGTAGTATTATTAGCCTCCATACCCAAGTGCCTAGTGAATGAGTAGATTAAAATTAAATTCGTATGTCATTCGGGGGGATGAAATAACGTTTGTTGATAAAAAGGCGTAAATATTACACCTTAAGTTTTATTCTATAAAACCGATAGACTGCCTTAAAAACCGTAAATGAAAAAGTGACTCAGAAAGTATCATAAGTGGATTAGATAATAGTCACAACTACCAAAAATTATACAAGAAATTTGCCGGCTAGTGTGACTCTAGAATCAAGAAAGTTTATGGAAAACTACCCCTTATCAGTTAAAAAAAGTGGATAAATTCTTAATCACTAAAATTTTCAACAATTAGAGTTACATTGCATTCCAAAAAAGTTTACATTAGTCTTCAAAAATGTTCAAACTGTGGATTGTGAAGTACATGATTAGCAAACGAGGAAAACCGACCCTTTTTTGACATGCAAGTATGATCACATCGCTAGTTTACAAGTAAACAGAAAATAAATAAATAAATGAATATCCTAAGTTCATATAATGAGATCTAGTTGCTAAGGTTTCACATTATTCAACATTGGATGATTCGCGGAATATGTCCTTCCCCATTTTTTTAATATTTTTCTAAGTATGCAGGACTTACTTTTAAAGAACTCGTTAAAAGGTCAATATGACCACTGAACTCTTTATTGAAGATGTTTTTATGAAGATGTTCAATATAATTTGCAAAACGATCATTTAAATGCTGAAGTTCTTCTTTTTCTTCCATCCGACTGATCACTAAGGAGTCGAAAGATGAAGATCTTGGGGATTTTGTTTCTTCACTTGATTCTGATGACTCGCCTTCTGGTACTGGGCGTTTCGGCATAACTTTACGTGCTTTACCTACTCAGAAGAAAAAATCAACACCACATTGAAACAGACAATTCAAGGTTTGATGAAAAAGCAGTTACATAAATCTGTAAGTGCTTGGGGATTTTTGTATTTTACTGATATCGAATATTAAAATAAAACCTTAGTCTACATTCTTAAAACCTGAAAATATTACTAAATACATGAACCCTTCGAAGAAAAACAGCCGATCACCTTAACTCGACGAGGTAACCTGAGTTTACTAAGACAAACCACTATGTATGGGTGTCATGATTTAGTTTTATACATAGTTACGAGGTAACTACTATTTCCCCTTAGTTCAAATAATAAATCCGGCCTGGTACCGTATAATAATATTCCTATAGTGTTCACTTAGGCATACAATCTATTTAACACCTTAAAAGGATGAAACTTACAGAGGACTCAACAAACTTATCCTAGAAGGCTAGCTAGCAGGAGTTCTGAGTCTCTTCCAATCTTTTCCTGACCATGGCAAAAAAATTAATGTACAAAAAAACCGCGACATCGAATACCTAATTTTTATCACCTTAGGAATGTCAACTTAGTAGAGAGACTTACCAGTTTTTGTATTCGACATTATCGGTACAACTTCAACGACTGGTGGAGTAGAGTTTAAACTGTGGCCAAACGTATAGGTTTCAATATATTTTTAACAAGCTAGTACAAACAAGTTGTCCACTCAAGTTTTCATTCCGATGGTAAAGAACGCCTACGAAACGTCATTGCCATTCAGTTAGACGACTAAACAAGATCTTTCTGAGTAAGAAGGATCCTTGATAACCGCTTTTCCTGATGATTCAAGGCTATGAACAGAAGTTTTCAACACTTTCAATTTATCTAACTCGACTTTATAGTATGAGAAAAACGATGGAATAACCTGACATCCTCCAAAGCGTAAAGCACTCCATCCGCGATACGTAAACTAGACATGAAACACAAAACGTTCCCCTCTATGAGCATCATCGTTCAATAAAGATCTGTGTTTCGTGTGGTCACGTACCCATCGCGACAAAAAAGACCTTATAGACAGTCTAACGCTTGTATCCCGAAATCACTTACTTGACCAATTTGATATAACTGGCTTTCATTATTTTTCAAATATTATTTGGCTCCACATAGAGTGTGGAAATACAGTCTTTCTTCCACTCCGTCAGCCAGAATATTATTTAGTGTGTTTAGAGAAAAACTGCTAAATCATTTTGGGGATTCAAATTCAAGCCTTATCGGGAGCATATAAAATTGCTTCATCTCTACGCTTCGGAATTCATGCCCCTTGCGAATGATATTTTTAATAATCTGTGGTATCCTAAACACACCTGAAATATACCTGAGTTCACATTGGGTTGAAAATGCACAGGCATTTGGAGTTTGACAACACTTCAACCAGTAACATCTCTTATAAGTGAATCGTGCCCACCTAGTGAAATCAAAAGTCAGAAGCGAGGAAGTTCGAAGATGTAATTGATAGGTTATCAATACACCGAGAAGTGACTGATTTAAACAGGCTAGTGATCACAGGAAAAGTTGATAACGGCGTTACCACTCGTCATATACAGAGGATGCATGACCGAGCTCTTTCAGTTAGGTGAGTCCACTAAAACCATTATAGCTAGCATCAATTAGCGAAGACTTACAAAACTATTGATTTTGAGGGTTTTTTTGCCGCTACAAAGTGAAGCTTACACCCAAACACCAACATAAATTATGGATAGCCCTGGAAAGATAATAATGGCCATGTCCATTTTCATTGAACTGCTATCCATACCATTCGTATTTGTAAATGGGTCTTAAACTTTGAAACATTTCATTTGTGATGTGCCGTGAAGTTCCCACTTTATATATGCATAATTTACCAATTGTAAATCACCGTGTCCTGAGAAAAAACTCATCTTTAACACAGTAACTTTGCACTTAGAGTGCTTCACGAAAATACCATAATATCGTTAGCACTAAACATTTAGGCAGAAATAGGCTTGCTATTACTGAGGACATTAACCACTCTGCATTTCTCCGAGTCATTCGTTATCACAGAGATTATCACTTCAACTCACAATCTACTGTCGCTAATACATTTCAGATCGTATGCCATGAAAGTCTTTTAAAAGACAAACATCTCTGAGACGATAACTCTATCAGGACATGTTAAGTGCGGGTCGTAGTATATCACACTTAACAATAAAAGCATCGCATCTTACTTTGTCTAACATAGATTAGGAGGTTGATGTTTAAGCGATCAATCCATTGTTCGATAATTGCTAACATATAACACCTTAACTGAATAGCTGTCTTATTTAAACACTTGATGTACTTTTCAGCCAGACACTTTCTCACTCACTGATCTTATGTCACTCTACTTACAGAATTGTCTATTTTTTCGGAGAAGATACTGAGATAAACTGGAAATCATCATTAGAAACTAGGACACCAAAATTAAAACTGATGAAATTAGTGATGGTACGACTTCCTACAAGTTCTTCACCTTTCAAGATCACCCGTGTTGATATAACATTATCACAATATCTACAATGCGTCTTATAAATTGTCCTGCCCTGATGCTTTAGTGTTTAAACAGTCAACAAGCTCGTAATAAAGCGATTTTATCGGTTCGCAATGACCGTGGAGATAGTTGAAGCGTTGTGAACCCCTAAAACTCTGAATCAGGCTTTTTCGTACACACTAATATGGCTGTTATTCACTTAATTAAATAAATAATCAAAGAACAATTAATCGGTAACTAATTGGCACTCATAGATATAACCTGTAAAAAAAGTACAAATATACAATACCTGGAAAGTTTTTCCAGGTCTGTAGAACCAGTAACTACCGCGATACTGTGAACGATCAGACTAGTAAATAAACTCTATTAAACCACATCATAACTGCTTGTCGATAGGAAAATGCTTTTCCGCCCAGCAAAGAACAGCTATCCACCATAAAAAGGGAATAATTTGGTTGAATTTGTTTCAAAAACGAGCAATAAAATAACAAAAAAATAATTGTGTGGAAGCCAAAGCACCACAAAAATTCACTTACTGATATTGATAAGCACAAACAAAATTGGGGTGTGTGATTCCCATACATCGTGGATACATCAAATCAGCCAAATAAAAGAATTCGTTCGCTCAATTTAGCAGCGGAGAAAATATATGGTCAGGTGAAGCAAATACTAGAATAGTTAGCAAAAGTATGGCGAGATTAAGGGGACTTGAGCGGATTGGAATGGTAGTAATATTGGATTAGTAACAAATTTAGATCTTTTTGGATTTAAATTGATGCTGGTACTCAGAAACACCAGCGATCGTAATGTAAAAAGTTTGAAGATAGAATACCCGGCAATTTTGTTGTAGTGAAGTAAGTCTAGGACTGCATTGTATTGAAATGGATTTAAAATTCAGAGTGTCAACTACAAGGCTTTTCCCATGTATTTATGTATTGATATGGTAACGGAAGATGATTGAAGAATAGATAAATTGTTTGGTTTATTGACAGACTGATTGACCGAATGATTGATTGACGGGTAAGTGGAGAGATAGACAAAAAGCTAAATAAAGGAATATCGGGAGGATTCCTAGAAAAGGTACTCTACAGGTCTAAGGAACCTTCACTAGGCTCTGACTAAATCATCTATTAGGTTGAATCGTTTTTACAATAAACGATAGGTCACTGATCGTTGGACTCGTCTATCGACCACTTTGAAGGTTAAGGATGACTAAGCGCGTTGATTAATTGCACTCTATGGACTGGGCCATGTGGCAGTGGTCTTCAGCCTACTCTAACTAATAAATTTCTACAAAGTTCATGATGCTTAATAACGTTTCGTAGTTACTTTCACAAAGAATGGTCTTATATCATATCATTCCCGTCAAATAGTAGTAGAAATCAAAAACACGTATACTTCGTAAGGCGAGATACTACGAAAAAAATGTATAGCATGTACACAAACAATCTCAATTTGGTTTTAACTAGATAATTCGTTGTAATATCGTGAGTAATATGTCACTTGTTGCTAGGTAATAAGACCTCTAGATCCGCCTTTGCAAAATTGCTACGTTATCTTCACCTTCTAGGCTTTAATTTTACTGGTTTTCACCACTTTTACCAGTGTCTACTGCCCCCTACGCATCTGCCGTTATGACACACGGTTAAACATAACTCGTCTTTCTCAATACATTATGTCATGTTAATTTCATTTCCGGTTTGTATGCACGCAATACGGGTCGTCAAAAAGCTCAACGGTCTCTAGGATTCTCCACGAATCACACAGTCTTCATATTATATTTGTACTTACACATCCATAAGTTAAACTAATAGTGCTAAAACGAACGTTCGACAAAACTGCCAGCATATATAACGACGATTTCATTTTGCTATGTCACTGTGTCATGCATACAACCTAGTGTAATTACTAAACTTAGATGTCATATTTCGTGTATTTCACAAAGTAATGTAAACTTAACAACATCTAATTAACGATTTTGACGTCACGATACTCAATCATACCACACAATTCATCATAAAATGCTTATTAAGCATAGTTATCACGTGATAGAATGCAAAAGTGTGAACGGTTTGACATATCTGAAGCAGCACTGGTTATTTTCGACTTGTCAACTACTCATCAACATTATATAAGCTCACTCATAATGAACTTCCAACATTATATGTCACTGTTGTGACATAAAATACCTAAAATATGATCGGCACAATCGATGTGACTGTCCAAACGAATTGCGTTGATCAACTGACATATACAACTATTCATCACATGATGTTTTTTTTTCATGTCTGTTATCAAACAGATGATTTCGGTACATATATCAACTGTTCAGACACTCGAAGATTTACAACCTTTCCGGTTCTATTGGTCGTCTAAAGACAAAATCATTCGATCGAATCATCAGTTTACTTATTACATGGCGGTCTGTTTAAACATCTGGGCCACCTGTTCCTGTCATCTAGATATTTCAACAAGTTATCTAATTTCGTGCGTTTCTGAAAAGTGTAAGACCTTTCGCTGTAAAGGTTACAGAAGGCTTAATCAGAGATATCGTGGTTGCTGGCAATATGCAGCGAGAAGAATGTACATTATCCAGATGTCGATTGACTGGGTTGCTAAGTTCTAACTGGCGATCACTCAATATTTATCGTCAGGAAGGACGAAGAAGTCAGAAACGGAAACTTGTTGAAGTACTTTGTGCTGAGAATTCTATATTGTACCAAAAATATAATATTGAATAAAGCTAATAATAATAATAATAGAACGAATCTTGCTCAAAGTGAAAACGACGGTGTTTTCTCTACACCAACACTGACAGAGTTTAGCACTAGTACCAGTGACATGAATTCAGAGTGGCACTCCTTGGTTTTTATGTTCCTTTAGATATTTTTCGGTCCACTTATCCAGCAAACATGCAGCACTCATCGCTTATCATCTTTTGGATATAACTTCATCGTGACACATTTGCTCTCGATCTTTAGTCTTCGACCCTTACAGATTGTAACAGAAATCATCGACTTTTCAACCTCCGACTACTAAATGATCAATAACTTCCGAAGACGAAATCACGATTTCTTTTCATGGTTATGCTTTGTACTTGCAGTTAATCTGCATAATATATATAACCAGAATTAGACACTAACGAACAAA